AAAGTAGGCCCAAAAGCACAAGAATTATTGGTAGAAATGGAACGACGAAGAACTGAAATTTCCTCCAAGGCTGAATTGAATAGGTATCTAGGAATTTGTACCAAGTAAAACCTGATAAGATTAAATATTTTTTCGTTTTTGTCAGGATAAATTGCACTGTATGCGGGTTTCTGTCGCATTGTAAGCGGGTCTTTTAACATATAGTTCTTATGGGAATGTCTAGGGACCAGGCAAAATTTGCACTGTATGCGGGTTTGCACTGAAAGCGGGTGCACTGTAACGAGGTTTTACTGTAATTTGACAATTTATCTGAAAAATCATGGAATTTTGAAAAAAGCGAAAAATTTATGATTTCGTCATAAATCTCAAGACTTGGCAGCACTGGACACTAATTGTTGCTCTTGGAAAATAGTAGTTGGAAGCATCCCATCATTATGACTAAGAACGGATTTGTATAAATAATGTAGGTACAAAAAATTTCGAATGATGTAAGTAAATAAATACCTACATACAAATATAAATGAAGAATTATGGAAAAATAAATGAAAAAATAAATGAACAAATGATCCTTTAGAATCAAAACCTGCTGACGCAAGAAATGTTAATTTTACAGAACCCGCAAAAAATTGTCATTTTGGTGCAAATATAGCTACAAAGGTAATTTTTTTTTTAATGAAAGGTTGGCAGCACTTCTACAGGCTGGCCAAATATCAAGATCCACAGTTAACTTTTAAATATCTAAATTCGCGATCAAAATCTGCGTTAGTAGGTTTTGACCCAAAACTGACACGTTAGTAGGTTTTATCTCCAAATGGGAATCGCAATAGTAGGTTTTGACTCCAAACGGGAATCGCAATAGTAGGTTTTGATGCAAAATTTTTCAATATGATGGTATCTTTTATGAGCATTAGCAGGTTTTGATGCAAAACAGTTTTATTACGTTAGTAGGTTTTGACTCAAAACGGTATTTTCAGGGCCTGATTTGAAGGTGTTCTAGTGGGGTTTGACAAAATCGAACAGCACCAATCGATCCGGGAGGTTCAAATTTATCAAAAATGACCTGAATCTCATTTTTCAATTTTTTGACGTTAGTAGGTTTTGATTCTAATGGGATCAAATATTCCAAAAATGTAGAGCACTCACTCATATTGGTTGGCAACTGACAGTGGTCTGATGGCTCTCGGAATAGGAGTGTGAACTTTTTTCAGCAGTGCTGCAGTATTAGCTCTTATAGATCTGGTTACGTCATCGAACGACTAGAAGCATAAAAATTTTCCGTAAATTAAATATTCTATGGAATAATCCATAAAAATGGTGCCTCTAAAATAGAAAAATTGGAGCCAAACTTACTGTAACGGATCGTTCGTTCAAGAAATCTTCCATGGGATCGTAACTAGGATGAGATCTGGGCTTGTGATAAATACGATCCAAAGTATTGTCTATGACTGTTTTGCGGACACTGTTGTGAGGAACCGGGGTCGTAACGTTATTCATTCGTTTATGGGCGATGAATGGAATCGATGGATGGTACGTGTGCGCCTGAAAAATACGAAACTCTATAAATATTTAGCCAGGGTGAACTCAACCAATAATTATAGAGGTTTTAAAAATTGCTAGAAACTACAGCAGTTTAATACAAAGAAATAAACAACTAACTACTGATACAAGCTGAAGTCAGACCTGGCTCTGAGTCAAAAATGTTAGGCCTTCCTCTCCTTCCAAAAAAAAGTTCAAATTAAACTTAATCTCCTATTTTTCAAAAGCTAAAGAAAAATTGTGAAGCACAAAATAACTTTTCTACTTTGCTTTCTTTTTTTGGAACTGACCGGAACCCCTTAAAAATTCAAATCCTTTGAGAAAAAAGTGATTTGAATTACTAATCCGAATCTTTACAATAAAAAAATTTTTGTGATTCAAATTTTTTTTTTTCAAATAACAAATCCTTCGAGTGAAGGTTGCTCCAACAAAACTTATGAAAACACAAAATCAAAAAAATGCAGACTTTTTTATAGGGAGTAAAAAAGTTTGAAGGGGCAAGATAGAAAGGATTCGTGATACAGTACTGAGACATATTTTTTAGATTTGAAACACAAATCCATATGGTTTCATATTATGAAGCAAATTTTTTACAATTCATTGACTTTGATTTGAATCAAGCTCAGAAATCGATTTTTTGATCTTTGGAAAAATGAAGAATCCGCAAATAAATAATTCATCGTTGAAATACAAAAATGAGCATTAAGCCAGGGACAAATTAATTTTTTGGCAGGTATTGAAAGTGGTGTCGTACATGACACCACCTGATCTCTTGAGGCATGTCTCTCAAAATTTTCCCTTGGTGTCGTAAATGACACCACCTGATCTTTTGAGGCATGTCTCTCAAAATTTTCCCTTGCTTGGAGTCGTTTATGACACGACCTGATCTTTTGAGGCATGTCTCCCAAAATTTTCCCTCGGTGTCGTATATGACACCCTCTGATCTTACGAGGCATGTGTCAAAATTTTCCCTTGGTATAGTACATGACACCACCTGATCTTTTGAGGCATGCCTCTCAAAATTTTTCCTTTGTGTCGTACATGACACCACCTGATCTTTTGAGGCATGTGTCTCAAAATTTTCCCTTGCTTGGAGTTGTTTATGACACGACCTGATCTTTTGAGGTATTCTTTCAAAATTTTCCCTCGGTGTTGTATATGACACCACCTGATCTTTCGAGGTATGTCTTTCAAAATTTTCCCTCGGTGTTGTATATGACACCACCTGATCTTTCGAGGCATGTCTTTTTAAATTTTTCCCTGGTGCCGTACATGACACCACATGATCTTTTGAAGCATGTCTCTCAAAATTTTCCCTTGGTGTCGTATATGACACCACCTGATCTTTTGAGGCATGCCTCTCTAAATTTTTTCTTGGTGTCGTATATGACACCACCTGATCTTTTGAGGCATGTCTCTCAAAATTTTCCCTCGGTGTCGTATATGACACCACCTGCTCTTATGAGGCACGTGTCTCAAAATTTTCCCGTGGTGTAGTGCATGACACCACCTGATCTTTTGAGGCATACCTCTCAAAATTTTCCCTTCGTGTCGTACATGACACCACCTGATCTTTTGAGGCATACCTCTCAAAATTTTCCCTTCGTGTCGTACATGACACCACCTGATCTTTTGAGGCATGTCTCTCAAAATTTTCTCTTGGAGTCGTATATGACACCACCTGATCTTTTGAGGTATGTCTTTCAAAATTTTCCCTTGGTGTCGTACATGACACCACTTGATCTTTTGAAGCATGTATCTCAAAATTTTCCCTTGGTGTCGTACATGACACCACACAGTGTTCTGAAGTACAAGTTTGTGCGGCCAAAATATTTTCAACACTAATATTACCTTATTTTGCCATAAATTGAATAAATTGTGTAAAATTTTTGCATTTTCACCCCCCCCTACACCTTCCTCCTGTAAACCATCAATTTTTCAATATTGAAGTATCTCATTCCCTGTATTAAATGAAACAATTATCTTTTCAAAGGTGTAAATGGTTACTCAACACATTTAAAACTCAAATTCTGGGATTGAGAGTTTCCACTTAACATGTTTGTCTAAAAAAAAAAAATATCAACAAACAATAGTCATCTATAACACCCCTAGCAATTTACTGGGTAAGAGTATCAAAATGAAAATTTTGTGAATAAATAAAATGATGATTTCTTAGAAAGTTGCAAAAAGTAGCAGATGAAATTTATAACGACTTATAGGGAATTTCATGTAGAATCTGATGATCTAATCAGATTTTTGGCCAAAGTTGGCCTTTTTTTTGAACAGCCTTTTAAACAGATACATTTAAATGAATTCATATCACTGAACATTGAAGTAATATTTTGGCCATGACAGAAAATATGTCATGCTGTGTGAGGTATATCATTGAAATGAGGACATTTCACCGATTTCAGGAGGGAAAAAAATTCACTCATACATTTTTTTAATCAGCAGTAAAATTATGACGAAATAATACTTTGTCTATGTTACGAAATTGTAATGTTCAACAAAATAATCATCTCTGATGTCTAATTACAGGATCTAAATACAACTTTTTTGAAATACAATGATCATATATGATCTCAGTAGACTCTATTAAACAAATTTATACTAAATTGATGCAGAAAAATAACAAAAATTTTTAGAGGTTTTGGCCACACAAACTTGGATTTTAGAACACTGTGCACCACTTGATCTTTTGAGGCATGTCTCTCAAAATTTTCCCTTGGTGTCGTATATGACACCACCTGTGCTACTTTGAGTGTTGAATCAGTGCTGCGAGTAGAATAGTTTGTAGATAACCGGAATTTGTGAATAAAATTAGGAACTAATTATATAAATTATGACGAGTTGATGAACTTGGAATTTACATAACTTTGCATTCGAAGATAAATTTTTCCCATTTAATTTTTCCAAAGTAAATTTGAAAAAAAAAATCGATTACATCGATCTTTTGAAAAATTGTTTTTTGGGCCAGTTTCAAATTAATTGAAAAATTGACATCACTAATACCACTTCCTAAGACAGCTGTGTGATTTTTTGTGGGAGCTTTGGTTAAAATAAGTGAGAATCAAAAACTACTGATCAGTAAAAAGACTTCTAGGTATCATGATTAGAATACGAAATAAAGAAATAGGACGAAAAATAATATCAAAACTAAATACCACACGAATTAATCTGTATTATTTCAAATTCGGTCAATTTATGTATGAACTTCTACTCGAGAGATGAATGTTACGATACCAACAGAAAAATATGTGATTATTTAGAAAAACCAACGTAAAATGAAAAATGCAAATCATAATACCTTTCCAACACCTGGTATGAGTTTCTTATGCTGCGGCCATGCGATTGTCGTTTCAAAAAGCAAACCGAGGAAAAGAAATTAATTTTCTCGTTTTTAATTAACATATCGAGGAAAACGAATAGAGAGACAGAGATAACATTGTAAATAATTTTTAATTCTAGCAGTAGCTGTGACGTCAAAAGCCTGGTAACGAGAGGACGCTTCTTGCTGGTGTTTTTCTGCAGCTTTTCACTTTTGAAAAACTGCTTTTGAATTTCGACGAAAGAAAAAAGGAAATTCAAATAAAGTACGTGAGTTTCCTACATTAACTCTAAAATAAACGAATAACGATAACATATAAGGGTGACTTTTTGCATC